ACACACCAATGTTCCCAAAATCTTTGTCCACTTTGAAGCAGGAAAACTTGATCGTCGATCTCGTTTCAAACTCTGCGACGAGTTTATAAACCTCTTGGACGGAAGAAACATATCCAAAATTCTCCGCAATATTTTCCTATCGAATGTGGGTTCGTAACTTAAAATTCCCGCCATGATCTTCCTGTTTGTTTCCCGGGAATGATGGGATTTGGAAGGTCGCGAGTTCGATTCTCGCCCGGGACACGAAAATTTTCGTTGCCCCGGACGAGCATGGGGCGCGATCCATTCAACCAAAATTTCCGGAAATTTCGGTCCAAAACTCAATGGATCGGTTCGGTCCAACCGGAAAAGTTTCGAAAAAACGGGTCCACCTTTTGAGGTGGACCACTTTTCCCGGTCGGACCGGTTGGAATTTTGGTTGAATGGATGTTGTTTCGAGTGGTTTTGGTGGATGTAGACTTCAACATCCACCAAAACCACCAATAGTGTTCGGGGCTAGATGTGTATCACGTAGCCCCATGAAATATCTGAAACATGTTTTAAAACTTCATGTACAATATTTGCCAAAATACAGTTATACTCGTTATATTCATCCTTTGTTGGCGAGAACGCTATCTCCTAAATATAATAAAGCTCAAAGCAAAAGAAACGCGCATCCCCGAGAGGCGAATACATCAAAACATCGTAGGCATCTTTCTTTGGTATAACATGTCACAAGGTGTCTAAAATTCAATCTCAGTCCCTCTCGATCGATGTGGTTTTGGTGGGTAGAATATATTGCCGACCATCTTCGGCAGCTCTCAAACGACGGAGATTGCGTTACTTTTCACAGACTGACCGCTTACCACCTGTTTTTGGGCTCGCATTTCGACGGAACGCTTGCCTTGAGAGGCGCGCGGCACGGATCTGAACTCTTCTTCACGAGACATTGAGCTGAATTTATCTGAAATATGCCACCACCACCAACAACATGAGCTTTTTTCGGGTATTTGTCGTTTTTTATGCGAAAAGTTCGGATAAGCAGATTCTCGCAAAAACCATTTGGCTTAAAAAATGTGTTTAAAAGCCCACCCTGGATTTGAAGCAAAAAGTATTTCCTCGCAATAAGCTAAAAATACCCAATTCACGCGGTGAAAAAATGGATGATTATGGAAGGATTATCGAATTCGTGCCTAACCTGAGGGATTTCCCGTGATGTAGGATTACGGCTAGGAAAAAAGCCCATAACCTGCTCCTGTCGTTGTGAATTTCCTCAAGATCAAGAATTTCAGTAAGAACCGAAAACAACAGCTTAAAGGAGGTGCACACACCTTGAACTAGCCAGGAAAAGGTTCTTCTGATTGAGCTAAACTGTCATTGATGCACGGTGCAATTAGGTAGACCTGTTACTATCCCCCGCGCAACCACATGGGGAGTACTTTGAAGCGGTCCTGTCGGGGACTTTCGGGGGTAGGGGGCGGGGCAAATCGAAAATAACTTCTCTTTGTTTTTGTGAAGTACATCATTTCTCGCACGGTTGACAAGGTGACGGCGGACTCCGTACCTTTGGAAAGGCCCTTTTGAAACATGTCCTGGCAACATGCAGGGCATCACGAAATTAACGTCAACACCTTGAATCAACTCCATGAACAGGGAGAGGCGATAAGTCCCATCTTAAAAGATGCTTGATGTCTAGACGTGAATAGTAGTCTGTCCACAGTCATTTTTCATTTTGTATTTCGGGACCATTTGACAGCGTACGAGTGAACCGGAGCGCAGTAACGTGCCCTAACCCCACCCCATTGCCCTTGCGGTCAATAAATCATCGCGTTTTTCATTTTTTTATGCGCGTTCGAGAACCTCCGAAGGGAATATTGAGGGTCTTTGTACAGTTTCAGTTTATTTTACCGACAAAAAAGAACAAAACAAAGCAAAAGACAAGTATACAGAAACACGCAGAAGCAATGTGGTGAGGAAGCCCAAAAAGAAACCATAAGGCTTAGGTCATCCCCTTTTCGTTCGTTTAGCGTCGAATAGGTTTCCTGGTTTTGGGTGGGTCGGTCGGTGGGGTGAAAAAAAAAAATCACAAGAAATCTGAGAACGGGAGGCCTCAAACACCAGCATCATTGCCGTGGAGACTGAAAACAAGAAGACATGGTCACCAAATCGACACAAACTCAATATGGCGGAAAATTTGATGGTCAATTTCATAAAAAAAGGCCCAAAAGGGTAAAAGGCAAAGAGGATACACCACCGAACGTTTTATGCCTCGAAATGATGTTATAATGCTAATTTTTTAGATTCCAAAAAAAATAAACCTTGTCGTTTCTTTTTCTTGCTTTTTTAAAAAATGCCAAAAAACTGGGTCTTTTGGACGACACTAAACGAAGAAAAAATTAATATAGGTATTAAGCTCCCTTAAAGTATAAAAGTATAAGTTTACAAGGACAGGATCGAACGTATACTGAGTAACTAAATGATAAAAATTTGATCAAAATTAAATGAAAGGCTAAGAGCCTAAGCGCTGTCTGATAACGAAACGGTAAACAAGAAGTGCTGCCTCTCATTTAAAAGAGACGTGAAATACTGGGTGGACCACATCCTGAACTCCCGCGAAAACCGCAAGAGAGGAACGCTCAGGGCTAAGGAGACTAAACAGGGGCGTGGCTACTTGTACGCATTGCACGTGCGTACCCGAAAACGTTGAGGAAAAAAAATAAAATGAAATAAACATAACTAAAAAAATCGGTTTTCAGAGAAGCGACGACATTAATTGGAGAACCGAATCTTGGATGATTTATTTATATAGCAAGCTTGATGATGTAAAGCGTGAACGCGTTGTTTTCTCCACGACCTGTCTTCGGAGTAGACGAAGTAGGGCACAATTACGTCAATGTGTGGTGCTTTTGTCGGTCAAAAATAATGTGACAAAAAGGGGTAAAAAGAGTCATTTGTAAACTAAAGTCGGAGGTGCTACAAGCTTGATTTTTAATAGCTGAATTAATGATAAACGGTTGACGTCAATGAACATAACAAGCCGACAGAATTAAAGAATTTTAGAGGTTGTGTCATTTCATAAACAGCAAAAATGCTTTTGCTTACAACCGTTAACCCCACCTTTAATAAAGGCACCTTAAAAAAATGTTGAGATTTGGGGTGGGGGTGAGGGGGGAAGAAGTATGAAAAAGTTGGGCGTACCTCCGGAAAAAATCCTGACTACGCACCTGCTAAAGCCTGAAACTGAACAAGAGGAGTCTTGACGAAACGTCCTCAGTTATCACCTGTCCGGGGTCGTACTTTCAAGGAAACGCTGATCAAGAATCACTCATGACGGAATGAAAACTCCTCGTAGCTTCCAGCGAAAAAAGGAGTGACAACAGTGGTAAGCGGTCGTTCTGTGAAATGTAACGCAATCTTTGCCGTTTACGATCTTTCGGCGCTTGGATTTGAAACGTTGTTGTCTGGTATGTTCTCGACTCCCGTGTGGATATTTGACATTTCCAATATATTGAAACACCATGCTAAGGTACGAACAACAGACATTCACAACATTGTTTTGTACGCTAAAATCTGATTTCATGGACGTAAAACGTTTTGAATTTTAAGACTTTTTAATATTAGTGCTTTGCCCTCCCTTTGACAACTTCGCGTGACTGGTGCACTTGGCAGGAGTTGACAGCTTAAATCTGCCTTTCTTGATAGCAAACGGCATTAATTTATATCAGATCGCTGTATAAGCACGTCTTGGTTTCTGAAAGCTGATAACATGAAACCACTATTGCTCAAACTGATTTCTTACTGTATTTTTCCAAGTTTTTAGCATCGGCCCGCCTCTGGAAAGCTCAAATTTCAGAAAAGTACTACTTGTATTTTTTGGCCTCAAACATTTTCTTTTAAGTTGCCCGTAGTTTTGAAAACAGATTTTGAAAGAAGAGATAACGCTCTTTAACGTGGTATAAGACTCGTTACTGAAATCGAGGTACCAGTCGACGATTTTGGGCTTTGAAATTTGCCATTTTTTCATTGAATGAAAACGTTCAAAATATTGAAAATAATGAAAAATCTCCAAAATATTACACTTTCGTTCAAACCGAGTAAATCACCACTTAGAATGTGCGCAATTAAGTACTCTTTTGAATAAGTTATTTGTTGTCCACATTACAATGGATTTGAATTTTAACAAGATTTTTTTGTGACACATGGTCTCGGGCCTGGAAAACCCGGTCCGAGAGCCGCGAAACCAATAACCCCCCCGTACGTGGAAAATAATTATTGGATCGAAGTAAAAATTACATTTATGTTAATAGCTTACCTAGTGCTACTTTGTGAATTTTTTTTGAGAATTTTCGATTTTTCACTTTTGTAGACCTCTGGTCGATATTTACTGACATCCGCTCTTAAGGAGCTTTAGGCGTTCTTCGTAAGGCATGTCTTGCCCAATATTTCCAAGGGCGCATTTAGATGCTCTACGTAGTACTTTCTCCAAGGTGTTTAAGTCTTTTTTAAGGTGCGGACACCAAACTGGAGAGCAGTACTCGAGTCTCGGACGTACTAGACTCTTATAAAGTTTTGAAAACAACTGAGGATTTTTAGGACCCACCGTTCGCCTAATGAATCCAAGCACACTATTTGCCTTATTTGCGCATTTGTTAGCTTGCATACTCCATGACAGGTTCGAAGTAATATAGATTCCGAGATCCTTAACTTCAGATACAGCTTTTGATTGGTTACCACATAGATGGTATTGAGGACTTGAGTAATCATTTTTTTTAGAAATGCGCATCGCTTCGCATTTATCTGTGTTAAATTTCAGCTGCCAGACATGGCCCCAAGATTCCAGGCGAATAAGATCTTTCTGTAGCTGATTGGAAAAATGCAAATTTTTCGACTATAGTAAAATGACATTTATGTCGTCTAAAAAGCCTCAACATCATCAGGCGATAAAAACGAGGTCTTTAATACCGAAAAGTAGGCTGGGAAGACATTTTGAATTTTTCACCAGAATCATGGGTTAACCCCTTTGGAAAAATGCAAATTCTTCGACTAAAGTAAAAGGAAGGTGTTGGCTTGTATATTAATGATTCTCTGAAAAGCACTGTTGTTAAAGGAGTATCTGATGAAGCCTTCCAGTCACTTTGGATCGAAATCGAAACGTCTGAATGAAGCTAAAGGTTGACAATAGATTACAAACGAGAAGTGGATGTACTCGGCGTAGTTCAATATGGAAGCCATTATACTTTTATCCCTTTTATACTTTTCTTATGTTGTTGTTGTTGTTGTTGTTGTTGTTTTTAAATGAAACAGGAAGGAACCCCAGATTAAAGCGATAACATTGTTCTGTGAGTCTGTACCTTCTACGTTAAGAATAATAACACGATAATAATTCTTCCTCCTTTTTTTCATAAACTTAGGTTGTGTACTTTTTTTAAAATTTTTTTCTAGGTTGTGTACTTGATCCAGTCGGAGTGTCGGATAGTAACGTTATTTCTAATCAGAGGTTTTCAGCTTCGTCAACTCTTAGCGGCCGCAGTCCATCTGATGGCCGATTAAAAGGAACCAATGCCTGGATTCCTGCCACAAACAATGACAACAATGATTTCCTGCGGATCGATCTGGGATCTGTTTACTTTGTTTGTGGAGTAGCAACACAAGGAAATCCAAATGGTAACGATTGGACAAAAACGTACAAGATAAAGACGTCCCTGGATAATGTCGTGTGGACATTCTACTCTGAGGGTGGTTCCGAAAAGGTACATCCCTTTCTGCTCTAGGTGAAGTAATAGCGAAATTATAATCGTGGAGACACTAATTAATAAAGGATTGTGTTTACCTCTTAGCCACGTCAAACCAGAAATTCACATGAAATCCCTTTCTCTCTCCCTTCCATTCGCTGTCCTCTCTCTTCTCCCATCTTCACCGTCTCTAGTTGTCTAATCCTTTTCTTCCTCCCTACCTTGCGTCTTTTTCCCCTCGTTACTACAGCCTTCCTTTCTTGGTCTCTTGCCGCTGTTTGCATAGGAAACGTTAGGGAAATAAGTAGTAAAATGTAAAAGAAACTGACATACAGGTGGTTTTCCTTTTAATATCCTTCGACTTTTGTTCTGCGGGCGGCAGTCATCGTCACTGTAGTTGCAATCCTCATAAATATCGTTTGTTTATATGTTCTTGTTTCTCCTGTTAACCATGAGCGGGTAGGGTTAGACGTAGGCTACGTTAAAAAGGTACCAGACGAATTTCCGACCGGTTGAAAAATTTGACCAAACACGGAACCGTTCAATGTTTTCGCTCTCTTGACATGGAACTTACAAACCAGTTTCAGAATTTTAATTATTTTCAGTTATTTTTCCATCTACCCATGCGCAGAACACTACTTCACGTGAAATCCAGTGTGGCGTCTCCCAGCTGAGTTACCACGCATCCATGCAACCACGCCCTTGCTACACTAGATGGTCATGGTGTTCACACCTCTTGATTTTTCTCATTTCAAATGTTTGAACGGCTAGGCGTTCAAATTTTCGTACGGTTAGCGTGTTTCCGTGCGAATGAAACACCTAAACGCACGAATTTGTCTTTTATCAGCTTTTTATAGAAATTTTTGTTAATTTGCTTTTAGATATTTACTGGAAATGATGACAAGAACAGCATTGTAAGAAGTGAACTATATGATCCACTTGCTGCCAAGTTTATTCGTTTCTATCCAGTTACATCTCACAACAGGAAAGCATTAAGGGTGGAGGTGTATGGATCTAAGCAAGGTTGGTCTCTTAGTACTTATCCAATACATGCAGTTCAAAAGACAACCACAGCATTAAAAAATGCACTTTAAGTGTCAATGTATTTAGCTCAAAAGTACTAATTGGCGACACTATTATTTACGTCTACTACTGGAGACGAGACGCCATTTTGCCAGGTCATCCGAACCACGCGAAGGTCTACCCGTTTGCAGTGCAAAGGAAGTACCTTCATTTCTCAGTTATTTTAAGACCTGGACTAGTTATCCGGCCCCGGGAATCGAACCCGCGACCTTCCTCTCTGCTGTCGAACGCTCTACCGACTGAACTAACCCTGCCGCTAAATTCTGGTTTGTACATACGATGCAAGGAAACTGACTTACCACTTGGTTCAGTGCTTGGTTTTAATAGGGAGCTTATTGCAACCACGACGTCGACGACATCAAAAACCTCACTTAAAGGGAACCTCCACTTCAACAAAAAGATAACTTTAAATCACAGGAAATAACTGTTACAGTCAAGTCAATCTAAAATATTTTTAAAGAAAGCGTTTGTATCCGAAAGAAATAACTTTTACATTCGCCTATTTTTGTTTTCAAATTTTGCGGGCGTTGCCATCTTGAATAATTGTGACGTGTAATGGTTGCCCTATTGTTATTAAACAAAAGCTCTTTGTGTCAGAACAATAGAGCAACCGTAACACGTCACAATTATTCAAGAGGGCGGCGCCCGCGAAATTTGAAAATGAAAATAAGCGATTTTAAAATTCACTTTTCCTGATATAAACACTTTTTTAAGACAAATTTCGAACAAATTTGTTTATCAACATAATTTTATTCGATTTAAACTTATTCTGTAGTAAGAGTGGAGGTTCCCTTTAAAAAAACCATCGGCTCTCTTTCAAACTTCATCGCTTTTGTTTCATCACGCTAAATTTGTGCAAATGTCAGAGAATTTTTCTTGGAGTTGAGTTCTAAAGGTCTGTATCTCAGTTTAAAAGAAAGAAAAGGAAAGTCGTTGTCTTGCGTTCACATTTTCCATTAAACGTGAAATTAATGCACGTGCAAAGTTCTTGTTTTGCTTATCTAAGGGCCCGTCCACACGTATTCGTTTTTGTTTGAAAACGGATAATTTTTTCCCTGGTTAAGCGTACCGTACACACTCACTAATGCAGTGAAAACGGTCACCGAAAACGCACCATTTCAATAACGCTCTCCAGTGTAGAGATTTTTGAAAACGTCGGCTTTTCTTTTATCTGTGGACGGGCGAAAACGGTTTCGAATTCGGAATACGATGATGTCATGCATCATTTATTTCTAGCTTAACGCATGCTCAATAATGAAGCTATTGTATTTCCATCGTTTTAGCGTTTTCGTGTGGACGGGCGACTAAGGCTGCGTGCAAACGGACGCCACAACTCCCAACATTGCTGCGCCCACAATGTTGGGAGTTGTTGCGTGCGTGTTGGCAGTTGTCTTGCAAACGGATCAAAAAACTCCCAACAATGTTGGGACCTGCAGTGCATCGTGGGAAGGATATAACTCATAAGTCTTTGTAAACCATGCGTAATGAGCGTGCGTGGCCCCAACAATGTTGGAAGAGCTGTGCAAACAGATCCAACATTGTCGCGCTACGCTTCGGCGATCAGGGAACAAAAGAAATATTAGGAGTTGTTGACTGAAAAGTTTGACTGGTTTCAAACTTTGCGCAACAACATCTAACAGGGCGTACAAACGGACGCAACATGTAACATCCAACAATGTTGGGAGTTGTTGGTCAACAATGTGGCGTCCGTTTGCACGCAGCCTAAGATTCGAATATGCCATACATGTGGTTGCGTATTTGTTTGAAAACGGAGGAAAAAAATCTCGGTAATCAAAAAGATCCGGATACATGTGGACGGAACTAAACCTATTCCTTTTTTTGCCGTTGTTGTTCCCGTCTGAGTCCGTCGTCGTTGCTTAGGCTTCCTAATTACTGCCTGACCAATCTTTGTACATCCATGCTTATTTCACGTTTTCTTGTTTCCTCTCTGTTTAGTTTTCTCCTTTACTTTAGAAAAAGGGTGCTTTAAATAATTGGATTTACTATATTGATTTTGTCCCTCCTCGTTTGTTTCCTTCTTTGTCATTGTAACTAATATGGAATGGGTGGAAATTTAAAAAAGAGTTTAAAAACTCAGTAATAACTCATAAAGAAAAAAAAAGAGAAATTTTGAAAGTTTAATGAGTGTCTTTACAGGAGCACCCTACGACTGTTTTCTTTGAAATATCTGTTCGGAGAAGCAAATATTGTCTAGATTTTTTTAGATGACCGTTCCATTCATGAACAATTTTTGAAGGCTATCTAATAAATTCCCTACGATTTTGTGAAGTTAATTTTTTTCCATTTCACCCCCCAGGTTAAGCCTTTTTTTTTAGTAGAGAAAAGACACTTAAACTTTTTGGAACCAAAAATGCGATGCAGACAAAAACTTTCGTAAAACTCTAAATTGCAGCTAAAATGTTCGGAAAAATAATGCTGAAGCCCTTGTAATTTTGAAAAGACTCAAGTTGCCCTAGGATGACCGAACAAATAACAATTTTTAGCGCTACTTAGAATACATTTCTAGAAATCTTAAAGTACCCTGGATAGCCCAATAAGTGTTTCAATGCATTTAGGAGGAAACCGTCGTTGGGTGTCCTTGTCTTTATACCCGATAAAGACACGGCTAAACTTTACTTCCAATTTTTTAGACCAAATAACCCCAAATCTAAATATCAGTGCAAGAGTGAGTTGATCTATATCGGAAATTTTGAAGTCGTTCAAAAACTCGCAGTCTGTATTATCAGGTTTAAAACCAGATAATCGAAAACTGCTCGTTTTTTAAACAGTACATAAAAATTCTTAATAAAAATGCCATATTTCTTGATGTTTTTACAGGTTGCTTTGAATCGTTTAAGAATGAACGATTTCTCACGAGAAATTTTACAATTACAGCATCCTCAGAACTTACTAGTCATATAGCTTCTTATAGTCGCCTTTATGGTACTGACGGTTGGTGCAGCTCTTCATTATCCCTACCTCAGTACCTGCAGGCTGATTTCGGACAAATTGTAACAGTCACAGGCGTGGCCACTCAGGGAGATGCTCAAAGAGACAACTGGGTGACATATTATTTAATCCGCTACGGATACGATGGTAAAACATGGATTAGTTACGAAACTGGACAGGTAAATTTGTAATATGTATTCATATATCTGTCTGGATTTGCTTAAGGGGACCTCCAGGAGTTTTTCCCAGACATTCTCATTTAGGGCTTGTTTCCTTTACGTTTTTCCTTTGTTATAACATTTCGAATAAACAAATCCTCTAAAAAGCTGCAGTAGACATAAAATCAGGCTCATCCTCGGTGTAAAAGCCTGTGAAACTCACGAGTGACGTTAAACAATGAATACAAAGAAGCCACTGAGAAGCCAACACAATCGAGCCAAGGAAAATAAAAGCTGGAAAACAAAGAAAAACTTCACAGGTTTTTACACTGAGATAAACCCGAAAATCATGTGTTTATAATGCTGTCTGCATCTTTCTTCATTCTCCTCCCCCGGCCCTACCACGAACACCACTACCTGCGATTATTTCCCACAATTCTCATTTTTGTGTGATAAAACAATCGTACTTGAAATCAGCGCGCGCGATAGAAGTTGTTCTCTGTGGTCGGTTAATTTTCTAGTTTTCCTTTTGGCCGCCTGGGGCAAAGTTTTCCGGAAGGCATTATTAAACCCTATGAAGGAACAAGTCTCAAGACTGGCAAGCATCCAATTGCCGTCGTCTAGTGTTACCGCATTTCGTCTCATTTTTGCTACACGGGTGAAACACTGACCAAGGGCTCGAGACAGAAAAGTATCATATTGCGAGCTTTGTTGTAAGCGGTGGCGAGTCTCTGGCCTCAAAACGTAGATTGTAGGAGTCGAACAATGCATCAATTTGTAGTCCGATATTGTCCGATTACAGCCTGTAATTTGAAACTCCGCAATGAACCTCTTTGTACAGTAACTGTCTGTGACTATCTAACGTACTAAATATTCAAAGGAAATGCAGATTCATTCACATTTATAGCTTAAAACTTTCAAGTAGACTTAAAGTGAGTAAAAACAAAATCACACACCTTTTAACTAATGACTGTTTAAATCTTACCTTCTGTCGGACATAATGTCAGTAGACAGATCAAACAGAGAAGATTATTATTTTGAAGCTGAAGATTTACTCAGTGCTTAATGTATCCCTGACAACTTTGCTTGTTTGTTCGTTAATTACCGGGACTTTCGAGGAACGGGCCCCATGAACGGACATTTGCAACCCCGTTTAGGCTGACTCGTCCCCAGTCACGAGAAGCGTGAACGAAGGGAGCGCGAGGGGTGATGGGAAGGAGAAAAAGGAGAAGGAGCGCTCCCCTTCAGCCGATTTGGGAATATACCACACAGAATGTGGTCTCCTGTAAATAAAATTATTTGTATATCTCCACTTACTTTGTTCTTGATCTACCACTCAGCATTTGACTGGAAACAGCAACAGAAGTACCATTGTTGTCCACTGGTTTGCTCCCCCATTTGCAGCGCAATATGTCAGAATTTTTCCCAAAACATATACTGGTGCAATATGTATGAGAATGGACTTGTTTGGCTGTAAGGATTGTAAGTATAATTTGTTAGAGGGGGATTTGTAAAAATTGGAATTAATGGATACATGTGCTGCCGTATACAGCCAATAATTAATAGTAATAATAATTAAAAATTTATAACGCGCCTTTTCCATGCAAATATGATCAAAAGTGCGTTACAATGCCCTGGATGTTGAAAAAGAAAATAAAAGCTCAAATGTACATAGCAATATAAGCTAAAAAGTGAATTAAGCGTGAAAAATTTGAATAATCAAACGAGCTTAATCTTGTCATGCAACCTTACTATCGCACGCAGCGGTTTTTGTCTCTTCACACAACGTTCCTCCCCATCTTGCTTCCTCGGTTAACCAATGAGAACAAGGAATGTGCCTCATCTTACCCGCTAGCCACATAAAAAGTACTTTAGTGCTATTTGGTATGATGCAGCACTTTCTCGCCTGCGCAAGGGAAATGGGATTGAGACATCTACTGGCAGGCTAACTGCTGTCGTCGAAAACGGCGCCATCTGCATTTAAGAGTGAAGTTTGTATCGTAATGCAAACCTTTTTGCCAGTAGACAGTGTTTGTATAGGTTGTCCTACAACTTCGAGTTCAATTTGCAATTTCTCACACACCACTGGTAGCCATGCCAAGCCGACCGCCGCAGCCTGACCTTTGTTTTAAACTCAAAAAATGCATACATATCATAACCTAAGAAAGGTAGGGCGCTAACAAAACTACAAAGTTGCACCGTACATTTAACAGCATACAAAACTGAAATCTTAGGCTGGGTGGGTGGGAAGGTCAGTAATGGCGGACGCAACAAAAGCAACTGCCCGCCCTTCAGTCACATGACCTATACCCAGGCTCCCAGCGGTGTGTGAGAAAAACATTTTCCACTTAATTCGTTACACTCAGCCAGTGGAAAATTACCCTTATTTGCACGAGTGTGTTTTTCAAAAAAGTATCAAACGGGCAAAAATTCACTGGATCAAAATTCGTCCACAAAACATCCCCGCAATGCAATTTGATCGACGCAACACCTGAACCCAGTCTCACGCGCAACCTCAAAGTGGCCAATAAAGATTTGTGGCCCCTGATTGGTTATTAAACAATTGTATTGTTTTTTTGCCAATCACAATGCTGCATTCACTGATAATTGAATTATATTTCCTCGTTTTTGTACTCTGTTTACTTACAGGCTCTTTACAGTCCCCTATTTTTCCTTGAGTTCATCGAGATCGACCGCTCTGCATTACGGGCGGCCATATATCTTGGATTTGTATCTAATCTACTTTCTCGCCTCCCTCCCCCCGCATTCTAAACCCCGGCTCGATCTTGAAACTGCATTACTGCTCTCAGCCAATCAGATTCAATAAGCCTAATGGAGTGTAAAATTGAGATATTGTATTAGATAAGTTTGCCTAACTTATTTCTTGTCGTCTTTTCATTAAATATTTTCTTGTCTCTTTCAGACCAAGTTTCGTTGCCGTTAAACGTTGATCTTGATGATGTTGGTGTGATAGCCGACACTAGTCAATCTGTGACCCTGACCTGTGTGGCTAGTTACAGCCCTCGACAACCCTCTGGGTATAGTTGGAGCAAAGATGGAGCGGGACTGTCTGACACAACCTCCTCTCTTACCATACCATACAACAATGCCAGTAATATCTACAGTAACTCTTGTACAAGAAAGCTCCCTTCAGCCAGTGGAGTCCAGTGTAATTCAACCTACCAATGCTCTGCATCACTTTCTGGAATACAAGGCAGTCATCTGACCACTGCAAATGTTATAGTGTCCTTAAGTAAGCAACAATTAGTGCGTACCTTAGAACGGTTTTTTGCTCGTTATTGTGAAGGTCAAAATTAATTTAATATACGGGATCACGCAGTCGTCAATAACTAACGTAATTTAAGTCCTTTATAAGGACACGAAAATATTGCATTCCAACAATACACGACTATAAACGGTATTATATGAACCAGGAAGTACCTCCTAAAGAAATGCCTCAACCTTTAACGTATTCTAAGTGGGTAACGTATTTTTAACGCGTTTGTTTATTCGTTGATTTTCAGAGAAACCAGGCCAGCCAGTTGTTCCAGTTAATCCAAGTGAACTTAAAGCAAGATCAGCATTAGTCACATGGTCGTATAATCCTGGAGCGGATGAAGTGCCTGTAACTGCCTACAATCTTGAGTATCGAAATAGTACTTTTGCAGAGAATATATCTTTGGGAGCTGTATTAAGTAAACGGATTATCAACCTCAAGCCATACACAGCCTACAGTGTTAGGTTGATAGCCAACAGTGTCTTAGGAAAGAGTCCATGGAGTAATGTCCAGAATTTCATAACAAAAACTGCCAGTAAGTGATGATGCAAATTAGATGCAGTGCTTAGAATGATAATTTATATAATACGTTATTTTTCCAAAATATTGACCACTACATCGTTTTACATTGACTACTGTTGTTATCATCTAATCGATATTTTCATTAAAATCTGAAGAACTGTGACACATAAAGGTATGTAAGCAAACTAATTCAGCGATTTTTCATGTAATAATCAGGCCCCAGTTGTTCAAAAGCTGTACAGTGCTATCCACCGGATAAAGCACTCTCTGGCGGATAACGTGATTGATTTCCGTAATACTTATCGAACAACCCGGTCCAGGCGTCCGGTCATAGGACAGAGCTATTCAGATGGAGTATCAATCAATCTAAACTTTACTTGTTATTTTCCCTTTTTAGAGCCTGAAGTCGATGTCCAGATCCGAAGTGTGACAAGTCCTACTTCGCAGTCAATTCTAGTAAATTGGCAGGTAAACATCAGATTTATTGTAACAAAAACTCCTTCGTGTCCATGAGTACTTCGTTTCTCTAGAGCGTTGCCTATTATTTCCATTTTTCTCGAAAGACTCCTACCCAGACCCAGTCGCTATTGAGGTAAGCGATCTTTGGGTTCATTCATTTCACTGCTTTGTGTAACCAAAGGAAAAAAGTGAAGGCTTGAAATTGTCTGCATCAATCCCGCAAGTTTACCACTTTCAGACCTTAAAGTTTAATGGAGTTCACTGTTAAAACGCTTGAAAATAAACATAGAACGAGAAAGGAGGACCATGAAAAAACAAACAAACAAACAAAGACAACTTAGACGGATGAGGGTTTTCTATTTAGATATTTCATCTGCGGTGGTCTCCCAATTTTGGTCTCGCACTGACAGTTATGAGGGCCGTTCCTTGGAAACAAATGTTTGAAGTTAACCACGGGTATGTCCGTATGAGGATATAAGGTTTAACTAGGAGGAGGAGAAATTATTCAACGATGTATTACTTAAACACTAATTTAGTCAAGTTCATGTCGTAGACACCAAGCACCACCAATTTAAACGGACCCTTTAGAGGGTACAGTATTGAATACATGGAAGCAGGGAAATCTTCCTCGAAAGTCAATGTCAGTGGATCAACCCTCAGTCATACTTTAGAGAACCTGAAGAAATGGACAGTATATTTGATTAAAATCGCAATCAGTAATGGCGACTTTCTTGGTCCACCGAGTCCTGAAAAGCAAGTTCGGACGCGAGAAGATGGTTTGTATACTCCTTGACTTAAGCTTGTTTTCTACAAGTATCTGTTTCTTTTCCCCCTTATTACTTCCAGAACAACAAACAAAAAACTAACAAAAGGAGAGAAATTGACTTTCACCTCTGTCTCTCCCCATTTTCCCTTCATTTAGCCCCCAGCAAACCACTGAATCTATTGTTCACCTTGCAAAAGCCAAGTGAAACGGTGATGCCGAGAATGACGGTCCACTGGCAACAACCTGCTGAACAAAATGGCATCATCAGAAAATATGAGCTCGTGTTCACGTACGACTTTGATGGAAGACAGACTACCATTACATGTGAAACTAATAATCAGACCTTTAACCACAGTCTAGATGTTTTCGGTGGAACAGAGTACAGTGTTAAAATTTGGGCAGAAACGATTAAACCTGGGCCAACGCTAACTGGAGCTAAACAAGTACCAGAATACAGTAAGTATCTTGCTGCTATCGTTTTGGGCCCCTATGTGTAGATGATTTGTGAATGTAATGCGCAAAAAGAAATTATTATGGCTACTAATGTGGTGACAAGGACAGAGAAACTTCAAAATATGATTCTGAGCTGCCAGCCCTAGCAATTAAAGAACGATATCGGAAATAAAAACTAAAATGTTGATTCTTACGGGAACATCACTTAAACCAATTGGAAGTCATTGTTTATATGAAATTCAGTCTAGTTTATCCGTTAGTAAAAACTACTTGCTGAGTCAATCGTGGAATCTGGCACTGGCCCTGGCCCTTAAAACCATAAGATCAAAATGTGAATTCTCATCTGTTGCCCCTACTCATTTCCCACCGAAATAGTGGGTAGAAGCTTATAAAACATCAAGCAAATTCATCATGTCCGTAATTCTCATGACCACTCTGTTTTACAAAGCATTGATATTACAAAATTTGATGCTGATCACTCTTAGGGCTTAATGGGTGAGAGAGTTTTTAGATGAAGTTATACAACTTACAAATCGCCTTTTCTGGATTTTGAAATGAATGTATCATTTACCTCTCTAAGTTTCTGTGATGGACATGAGTTTAAAAAAAGGTGAATTCTTACGTACGTAGGACGATCACATTCCACATCCTTGTTTATCCCTTTTAATGTTGGAATCTTAACTTTATGAACCAACACGTGAATAGATTCCAGTGTTAAAATGTGGCGGGGTTGAAAGGACGTAAATGGTAAAAAGAGACAATCTTATAGACAGCACTTTCGACTGTGACTGTGAACGACAAACTTCGCACAACCAAGAAAGACGTTTTCTCTCACTTTAGAAGCCCTACCGCGTACAAACAGTTTGGTGACGTGAGAGAAGTGAAGGGAGGGAAAGATTTCGGAAACTATCCACCTACCCTCCCCTAAGCCAACATAACCACTTACTTCGCTCTTACGGCAAAATGGTGGTTTAGGGGAGGGGTAGGTGGGCAGTTTCCTGAAATGTATAATGATCAAAGATTTCAAAGACTATACTTTCACTAATTTATGCCAATCGCGGTTAGTGAACTTTATGGTATGTATTATTCCTTGCGAAGCGAGGCGCGGATTGCCGAGCAAAGTGAGTTTATAGGGCGCGATCCATTCAACCAAAATTTCCGGAAATTTCGGTCCAAAACTCAATGGATCGGTTCGGTCCAACCGGAAAAGTTTCGAAAAAACGGGTCCACCTTTTGAGGTGGTCCTCTTTTCCCGGTCGGACCGGTCTGAATTTTGGTTGAATGGATCGCGCCCATAGTCTCGTCGGGCGAGAAGCGCGCGCGCAGTGTGTGAGCCGCGCGTGGTCCTAGCGAGCTGCAAACTCGCAGCTCTCATCTTTACTTGTAAATATGCTTATTTTAATTTTTATTATTACTGCTTTTATTTTTTATTTTTTTCCCTCCGTATTGCCAGGGATAAGAACTTGTGATACTAAAAGAGAGTCATTTTATCTTTCGTGTTCCACAGGTTTATTTTTTTATCCGTTGTTTTTTTCTCTCAGAACCAAGCGCGTCACCTCACAACATAACCTCTCAGAAGATGAGCGAGACAAGTTACAGAATAACTTGGAATCCCCTTCCCAGAAACACAAGTAATGGTATAGTGATCGCTTACGAAGTGAATCAGACGAAGCTTTCTACTTCACGCACTGCAAGATCCGTGTCCACTCCCTCAGTTCTACAAAACACATCCGACACTTTTATCGTTTTAACTGATCTTTTATCGTGCTCTGTTTACAAAGTTGAAGTACGTGCCTACACTTCTGCTGGACCAGGAGTCTTTGGCAGCATTGCCCATAACATCGTGACCTCAGGTATTTGAATATAGTCGGGGACAGAGCTTGGTGTTCGCATTTTGTGAGGGTGTATATAGAAGTATTAGTTAGAGGAACTGTACATTATAGAGAGATGTCCATGTTATAGGTATAGATTGTATGAAGTTTTCCATCTTTGGGACAAGGAGTACTTTCCATAATAGAAAGGTGTCCACGTTATGGCGATGTCCTTGAGGGGATTCTTGACTGTACAGTCAAAAGTTCTGAATACAACACCGAAACCATAGGTGTATTACCGAGGTGTTGGTAATGTAGAGGAAGAGATTGTTATATGTAGATTTAGCCAAGGCCAAAAGCGAAGCTCTCGTGGGAACTTTCAAGAAGTCATTCTGAAGTAAAGTTTTCTGAGCCTGCACTCATTTTAAAACCATAACTGGTCAACGGAGAACTTTAATAAACACTTCGCCTCAGTGAGTGGTACATTTGAGCCCAGGATACAGTCATGTGACACTCGTCAGCGGACACCTATTTTGACAGCTGTCAATTGATCATAACATGGATGTCCAATATCAAGTTTAAATACAATTTGTCTGTGTCTTGGACTTTTAAGCTAGTAAGACATTTCACATCCATTAACGTGAAGAAGGCGGACGTAAAATTTCTTGGATGCATAGATAACCAAATGTTCTTACCCATGGAGCTCCGCCATGTAGACCCCCTCCTCGCCCCCCGCTTTCTTCCTTCCTTTCCGTGAAAGTTTTTATTAAATAGCTATAGTAAGGATTACGTCTGGCATGACCCCAAAGGAATGGGAGTCGCTTGTACAGTATAGAATTACATGTACATGCAGTAAGATATAGAGGGGAAACTTTATTGGTGCCTTCATCCCTTAACTGCATTTGTTGCCGTCGTTTTTAACAACTACTCGGTATTACCGATTTTTGTAGCTCCCGGTGCACCAACTAATTTGCGTACGGAAAACCCTGGTCAACGAAGCATAACCTTGTGGTGGGATAAACCTGGTCTTCATGGTGAAGACGTGATACGTTACAAGGTAACCTTCGAATTGCTTTGTTATATTTTATTAGCACCACCAGTCTATTAGTGACTGAGTTACTTTTCTAGACCTTTGTTGCAGTCAGTTACAAATTCAAAGCAATGACTAGAATCGAAAGCGAATGCTGAGTAAACTAACTGATGTCACATGACGTCATCAGCCGTATCCTTTACTCGTTTCCAGTATCTGGGACCGTTCTGAAGGGAAAAAAATCATGTATTATAACGTTATTATATACATACTGAGAAATACTCACCAAAAAGCTATGTCGTAAATTTTCATACGCAAATGAGTTCCAGCCATCAAAGGAGCGAACGATGTTTTTCACACGTGAAAAAAAAGATACGTCCAATCAGAATCGCGAACGATGTTAATTTTACTATGATACGTCTAATCAGAAGTCGCAGGTGTGTGAGTTTCGGGACAAAATTCCCGCCTTTTATAGGCGCTTGCAGCTTGCAGCGCCCTCGCTTTGCGAGTTCTTCGCAGACATTCAACGAGAAACGTTTTTCTCCAAGAGCTTTTCTCTTCAAAAAAGTGAAAAACATATCGGAAATTGGAGTGGAATAGTTTCGTGTATTTCTCAGTCGATGAAGAGAATTGTTGAGAGCCAGCTAAACAACGGTGGAAGGGGAAGAACAGAACGAGAAGTAAGCTTAAGTTGTGCTTTTTATCGGAGCTACTTTGTCTTCTATTTGATCCTTACTTACAAGCTTCAGCTTATTCAAATCGGCCATTTGAATTAAATTAATTCATTTTCCATTGCGCATTCAGAGCAAAATGTTAACATTACTTGTAATTCTTTTATTACCTCATATCCTTACCCTCATTAATATAACTTGTCGCACGGTATTTACGCACGAGTTGTTTTTGTATCAGAAATCGCACGTCAACAACTCGTGCGTAATTATACCGTACGCCCGCACTTTCCATGAAGTATTCTATATTTTCTGGATGGCCAAAATTCACGAAATGTTTTGGGAGACATTTTTAAAGCGGACAATTGTTAATTAAACTTATGTATGGACCAAAATCAGGTTGAAAAAATTTCGTGTCATTTACACTTTCAATTTTTTTTTCAAACATGTCACACTGAACATTGAAGGATATCAGTTTGAGTGTCGTTCCTAGTTCATCGCAAGTTACCGTCGGTTTATCTAGGTTTATTTACCTCAACGAAAAAGGAGACAGCCTTTTGGATTAATACGTGTAATAATATTATTAGTTGAGAATAATAATCCAAATTCTTGGTTTTTTCGTACGTTGCCCCTAATTCGTGTTTCTTAATTAGCTAAGGAATGGATACACCCGTATTTTTCCATTGATTGTGTCTTTGCAAGTTAAGAGACACAATTGAGTATTCGCTTGAAATGTTGTTGTGTGGGTTTACTGTAAGAACAAATAAACAACATTTTCTCCGTCCTTTGTCATCAGTTCTTGAATGTACTTGGGTAACCATACTAACAGTGATTTATTTATTTATTTTAAACAATATATTAACAGTGATTTATGAATGGTGCAGATAATCTATCAAGGTACAAAGGATTATTATCCAGAATTCAAAGCGCATACTGGAAATCAAGAAACAGAGTCTGCTGAGTTAACAATGACAATCACCGATCTTTACCCTGGGACAAAGTATACTTTTGTTGTGATAGCTGAAACCCACTGTGGCTATGGACGTAATAGCTCTGTGGTGCAGGAAAGAACGGAAGTAGATGGTAAGTTATTTACTGTGTATCGTGTGTTCATTTTTGATATGTTCTAAAATGGTTTACAGGGGCGGGTACAAGATTTTTCTTGGGAGGGTGCCCCACTAAGGAATCATGATTGCGTAACTGACTGGTGACGTAAACAAAATTTTAAAAGCGAATACAAAGAAGAAGGCTTTTGTCTATGTAATAACATAATGTGAACTGCTGAGAATACTTATCAAACATATCTGCATACTTTGCAGAAAGCCACAGGTCATTTGGGGGGGGGGGTGCGCGCCCCCTGCACCCTCCTCCTAGATCCGCCCCTGGTTTAGGGGCTATAAAAACCCCTTGGCGGTGACGCTTACAAAAACAGACAAATGAAGGACTAGAAAAGAAGAAACACATATTAGGTGACGTAACCAAAGTGTCTTGTTTTTTGAGGTGGTGGTCGGGGATGGGGAAACAGAACAAACGTGGTCAATCTGTTCAGCAGTTCTCGCCAAAGTCGCCAAAGTGCTTTAGGAATCTTTGGATGCGTTTCGTTTCGTTTAAACAAACCATTATCCAGTTGAAAAGTTTATCTTTACTCGTTCAACAATTAAATTTGACATTGGGGGAGAAGGAACCGCTCCTGAGTGTAGCTGGTGAGCTGAAGGGACTAAAAGAAGCAGAAAACGTAAATCAACTGAAAGTACAGCCCATTTATTATTCTCTGAATGAAACGAATACCACGAACAATGTGCTTTTCCAATCCGAATTTCCAGTTTCCTCATGTAAATTGTAAATACCGCTGATTAATTTGTATGTGTAATCAAATGGTGACGAGTGAAATTAGGGAATAATTTCACGCGCGTTTTGTCTTAATCCTTATAATTTCCCGAGCCTTCAGGCGAGGGAAATTATTAGGATTTGGACAAAACGCAAGTGAAATTATTCCCTAATTTCATGAGTATACCATTTGATTACCTATTAATATCATGGGTGACGAATTACCTTAGCAATCGAGAATTTTTGACTTGTTTATCCTCAGTTATCCTGGATCGTATCGATCGATCATGAACTCCACTCTCTCAAACGTTTAGAGCTGAAATTTGGCTTAAGTTTTCAGAATTTTCCGACAAAATACCTCTAAGAATCCTTCTTGATAAGCTCTTTCGTGTGTTCAGGTTTTCTAAAGCGTCTTTTTATGCCCTGACATCGTCATTCATGACATTTTAAAACTTCGTCGCCATCTTGAAACGGAGACGTACGGCAGGTTGCCATGGCAATTTAGTAATTTCACATGTGAAATTACAAATTAACGCTGAAATTTCGCTTCAAAATTAAGGAGTAATTTGTCACCTATGATATTAGTCTTGTTTTCTAATATTCTTTTGTTTGACCTATAGCTCCTGTGGCGCCTGAACCCCCCAACATCCCACCAGAAATCAAAGTAAAAGGGACATCAGCGAATGTCACGGTGCGGTCTGCAAACCAAACCAATGGTCCAATAAGGTATCACTTGTAATACGCAAATGCAATACACACTGCAACATATACTACTTACAAGCGCTGTGATTGGTCGTCATCTATGATCTCCCGGAGTGATGACACTGATGACCTTATAGGAGATTTTTCCTTTGTTTGTCTTTACTTGTCAATGCATGGTTTATTGGACAAATGTGACAGTTCATTGATAATTTACATGCATTTCGAAACTTGGAAACTGACGTCTCAATCCAAAAATGTTATCACCAGCTTTGCAACGTGTGATGTTACAAACCATTGGTCTCATCCACTAGTGGAGGGCCAATTCATGGATATTTATAAAATAATTACTATCACCTGTAGAAGCTATTCCTAGCTTGAGGTTTATGCTGACTTGAAAAAAGGAGCGGAATTTTTTAAGACACTTTTTTTACGACACGTTTCTATGGGTCCCCGACTTACCAACTGTCTAAATACTTAACTAATGTGCTGAAACCTTGGACTGACAACCTGGACATAAACTATAGTCTACTGGGAACTTTATTGGCGCCTTTAAGAGAATACAGATACCTGACGACCACAAACTAGTGACTTTTGATGTGAAATAACTGTTCACCACTGTTCGACTTCAACTGGCTCTGGACTGTACTGAGAACGCAGTTGAGAACTCTACTGATGAACTATACCACTACCTACAGTCTACATTATGCACCTACTTAACCTCTGTCTAACTTCGACGTTCTTCCAGTACAACGGCAAACACTACAAACAACTATACGGTCTATCTATGGGCTCTCCAGTTTCTGTTGTTCTAACAGTAATTATGCAAAACATCGAGGAACAAGCCCTAGCAACTAGTACGCGAACTAGAGCTCTTTTGTTACGCTATTGTTGTTGACAACACTCTCACCTCTGTACACAAAGACGAAATCGACGATTTTCACGAACACCTTAACAGATGGTCTTGTTCGTTAAGTTTACTTGTTTCTTACAGCTATTACCAAGTTTTGGTGCATAAAGTGAATGATTGGGATGACAAGGTCTCTGACTGGAAGACACTTGAAACAGATGTATATATTGCTGCTCAAATTCCCGCTGATTTTGTGGGTGCATCCATGTTTTTTGTTGTGGGAGATGGTAAAACTTATAATGGTTACAAGAACAAGCAACTGTCAAATGGTCAGAAGTACAAGATATATGCCAGAGGATTGGGTCGCCGCACAACAAAGGTAAACTGACTCACAACAGTGGTTGACATTAGTCTTTGTGATAACAGGCTTTTCTTAAGGCCTCATCTGGAACTAAAATTTGGTTAACCTTCTCAATTTCATTAGAACCTAAATGCAAAACTCAAGAAAGTGGTCAAAATATCCTTCGCCACTCGCTCATTTCCCATAATACTAGCCTGGGACCAGGCTCCACTGTGGGGAAAAGAAGGGCATTAATTTTAACCCTTTAGGTCGCAAGAGTGACCAACATCAATTTTCTCCTCACAACATCAGCAGATCATCAAGAGAAAAGGTTATGAGAATTACTAAATTGATTACCAAAGGGAGAACGCTTTGATCTTAAACCAAATTCTCTCAACTATTCTTAAAAGAAATGTATGGAGATCAGTCTGGAGAATTTGTATTTGGATCTTGGGGCTTAAAGGGTTAAAGAAAAAACAGCGAACAAAGCCAGCCGACCGCTGGTTTTTATAATACAGTGTTTGCTAACCAAAACTGTTTTTAATTTCTCCTGTGAATTACAGTCCAAGAGAAATTGAAGACAGTGTTTGTGCAAAATTTTGGTTGGCAACCGAGTAAGGTGAATTATGGAAAAAGCGAAAGTGGCGAATTTTTTAACTCTACAAAACAAATACTTCTACTACGCAAAATTGTATCTTTTTATTTTTGTTACCTATATGCCATTCAGTTAGATTGCAAGTTTGTAAACTGAAACAGTTCAAAGGAGTTTTCCCTGTTAACTCTTCATGTAAGACGTACATAATATCATATTTTTTCGTTGTTAAAAAAAGACGAACGCCTTAGTTTGTGTTGTGCGCGTTTTGTCTTAATTTTCTTCTCTTGATGGGTTCTTTTCCCATTTTTAGAAACGTTCTGTGGATCAAAACTATCTGATTGGTGATGCAAGTCTGATTGCACAAGTTGAAATAGAGGAAGGTAGAACCTTTTTCGTATTGCCGTTTTTGCTATAATTTCTAAAGGGCTAAAGTTTTCATTGCAAAATTATAGAATGTTATCTGTAACATTTGTTTCCTTTCTGATTTATCTTAAGTTGTTGTCACACAATCTCAGTCGCCAACTGAGCCTGTTAAAGGATCACTATCTGCTGGTGCTGTGGTTGGTCCAGTGATTGCTGTTTTACTGCTTGTTGCTGTAATTGCTGCTGTAATATTTTGGAGAAGGTAAAGTTTCATATTTTTTGTTTGACGTTTACCGGGCGGTAAATTCAGTCATTTAGAAACTGGAGGACATTTGGGGGTTGCACATGGGACTGTTTTGGGGCACAAATTATGACCCAGTTTCCTGGAGAACCTCTTAATAGAGACTTTACGCTTCCCGTATACGGCAAACGGCAAACGTCAGATTCAAGTTAAGCATTTCTCAAAATAGGAAACAGGCCAGGGCTCGAAATTAATTTTTTGGCTAACTAACCCTTCAGGTTAGTGGGCATAAATTTTACTAACCAAACTATAAAGTTTATTATCCCGGCAAGAATCTGTTCTTGAAATAACAATATTTTGACTGTTAAAAGTAGCGCTAAAAATGGGGCAAGCTAATGTACGGATGGATTGGTTCAAATTACATGATGATCTACAAAACGAAATAATATAGAAGATTTAATGCTCATTTACAATTTCCTTTCAATTACGTTACTCAAGGCCGGGAAATTCAGCATAAACAGTGCAAAGCGTTGTTTGTTCTTTAGACTCATCAAACTGCAGCCAGGTGAATGCCTTTTTTCGATTCTCGGTGGAAAGTTCTTTCTTTCATCATACGCCCTCCGCGTGTGCAGGGAACCTGCTATAGCTGTGTCTTCCCATCCAACAAAAGCCTGGTTACCTTGAGTTCCCTGAAATGAGCGTTTTCATGTTGTTCGATTATGCTGTAAGCATATCTTTTAGAACAATACATTGATCGAGATAGAACACAATGTTATACAAACAAGAAACAGGTGTACAATTTTCAATGACAGAAATTTTTACTAACCGTGTCGGGATAGTAAGGCTCATTTTTAGTAACCAAACGTAAGAATCTACTGACCATTGGTTAACGGGTTACCGTTAATTTCGAGCCCTGCAGGCTGATAAAAAAAGCTCAAAACAATTCTTATTGATAAAAAATTGCGTGAAACTACTAAATTACGTGTAGAAATAATGAACCGTAAACGACAAGTCAAGAGGAAACTTGATCACGTGGTACAAATTCGCGTTTGCCTTTTGACGTAAAGGTGATGCTTAACCTCTCCAATAACCAAGATAAACCAGAAAGCAATCCCACAGTGCAGTTCGAAAGAACTCAGATCCAGGCTCACGCACAGCCTCAAATGGCCATTTCTTATTTCTGTCGGATTCATTTCGCAAGTCATCGCTGCATTTTAGTGTTTGCCGTTAACGCAGCGCTAAGCCTTTTTTATTGGGCTGCCTGTGGCCCAATCAAAAAATGAGTCTCGTCTATGTCGAAAAAAGAAAAGACAAAATGGCGGACAAATCTGCAAGAAGGCGTTGCTTGTCTTATTCTCTTTGCAGTGGGGCCGACATCTTGTTTTTGGGAGGTGTGGGAGGTCCCTGCTTTTGTACCTGGAATTTTACATTCAATGGAAGCCAAAAACAGTGTTCTTTATAGTTTATACTCGGTATAGGAGGAGCTATAAACTCAGCGTAGAAAGTATTAGACCACTACAGCCCAATACACGCTTAGTATACGCCTTTTGTTTTCTGATTCTTTTGTGCGTATTGTTTTTAATAGGCGCCGCCGATTAAGGGACCAGGACTCAAAGAGTGAAACACATGCGATGACCGCAGTGAATGGTGCTTTTGATACAGTTGTTGATGCTGAAACATTGGAAGAGAGTCCCCCAGCAGCTGAGGAGTTAGGTTAGTCTAGCATCACAACAGGCGCTGAACATTATTGCTTGCGAGTCAAAAGCTTTGTCCACACTATACTGGATAACGTTTCTTGTTGACAAGAAAAGCTATTCTGTGTAATATCAACAGCACCGGTATAGAGCTGGAAGAAGTCGTTCACACACATCGAACATCATGCCAGGGCGGTTGGCCGGGAGGGTTTGGTGAAGTAAATCCCAGTCCTCACTTCTGAATATTTACTTCCGTTTTAGTGGATCCCAGTCCTTTCTCTTACTTGTTCACTTCCGCTAGCCTACGGTCCGTATACCCGTTCATACCTACAACAAAGTGTGGCATTTTATCTATAGACTCAACATTTGAGACCTGTACAGCATAATAAATAGTATATACAGAAAAGTACTGCTCCGTAGCTTTCCTTTGAAGGACACGCTTGAGGATTACATATACAGCCTAAAAGTTGAATCCACTTTGTATAGCATAATGGCGATACTTACGCTGATGACACCTATGGACATTTTCGTGCCAACCAGAAACGCATTGTTTCTTTGAAACAAGAGATTCTATCGTTTTTCTCGTTACGAATTTGAATAACAAAAACAATGTTGCTATACAGTGATGTCTCCAAAAAATCACCTTCTACAGCGTTATGAACTGAAGAAAGTATTGTCCAGTACTCCATCCATACTTGAACAATCAACTTGTTCTTATTAACAAATCTTTGTGTCGCAACATTTCACTTGTCTCTTTTAATTTTTAGTTGAAGGGCCCCTAGCTACGAGCGATCCAATATATGGTAACGCTGTGCCAGACGAGATTGACGAAAAGCCCAAGCCAGTTCCCATAAGCCGATTCTCCGAATATGTGACCAGTTTAAAAAGAGATAAAAACGCTGGATTTACAAAACAGTACAAGGTACGGCCACTTAACAGGCACAAACCAGTCTCCATATACTACCAACACTATATTGAAGCATTTTTTTTCTCTTTTAACTATAGATGCTCAGTCCAGGTCAACAATTCTCTTGGGACGTTGCCAAAGTACCCGACAACAAGAACAAAAATCGATATGGAAACATTATTGCCTGCAAGTAGAAGTCTTAATCTTTTTTTTTAGTCGATAGAACTTGTCATATGCATTTTGCATGATTTTTTCTCTTATTTGGTCTGTTTTGTTGTTTTGTTTTTGTCTTTAGATGACCATTCCCGTGTACCGTTGCCATTAATTGATGATGTTAAGCACTCTGACTACATCAACGCTAATTACCTGCATGTATGTATTTATTTTGTATCGTAGCAATTATCAGATGGGTTTAGTGACACGCTGTTTTTCATGGAGATCGTTGCACCGTGCACCTATCCCGTAGTCATGGTGATCGTTGGGGCGTCCCGGACATAGCAACCTTTTTTCTCCTTTGATTTTATTTTCAGCTTCTCTTAGGGCTTTGCAAAACCTCAACCCTGCCCACTCAGAGACATTATTCTCCCAACGCTTCTTTTGTTGGCCCCTTCTTCTCCCTCCTTGCACTGTTTCTTGTCAAATTGTCTTGGCAAGCCCTGCTGATCTTGATACATGCCCAAACCACTTTAACTTGCGTTTCTTTACCGTGATTAAGATATCGTCGTAGGGCCCAATGGGTTGCCTAATTCTGTCTCTGACTGCGTCGTTAGTGATGTGGTCTCTGTATAAGCTGCCAAGCAGATTCCTAAAGCATCTCATCTCAGTGGCCTGCAATTTGTTAGAGATCGCTACGGTAGTGTTATTGATGAGCGACGGTGTAGATTTGTCACCATACCGGATAGCTTATCATGTCGACTTCGAAAATACCCCGGCCTGGTTTGAACAGAGACGGCCCAGAACTGGAACAAGTCGTTCACACACATCCAACATCCTGTCGGAGCGGTTGGCCGAGAGGGTTTGGTACCCTAAATCCCAGTCCTCACTCCTGAATATTTACTTCCTCATTAGCGGATTCTCGTCCTCGCTCCTACTCATTTACCCTCTCCGTGGTCTATCACAAACAGTGGAACCAAAACCTTTTAGATATGTGACGATCCAGTTTCAAGATCGACGCGGCGTAGCCTCGCTCCTTTACAGAAACCAGGCATGCCGAAACCGCCGTTCTTATATGTGAACCAACGCCCTATCCGATGTGCTTTTCGTACCGGCGCGTGAGCTTTGGAGTAGCAGAATGCACTTGTTTTATTCCCCCGGAGCAAATTATGAAGTCGAATTTGGTTTATTCATGCTATTTCTCAGACGAATGTTGTCAGTCTTTCTTGTCTCCAGTTGCTCGCAATCCCCATATACTTTGCTCGCTTTCCGCGCTCATTCCCAGATCACCGTCCCTGCACTCGCTTTTACAAACCAGGGAAGCCTATCGAGGGAGAAGGACCCAGGCGGGGGGCGGGGGGTGCTTCCTAATAATAGGCTAATGGAGATGTGCGGCTGGATGGGGTCACATTTTCCCGACTGGGTTGACTATAATGGGGTTGTAATTTTCAATAGAGTTACCAGAATGAGGTCGCTCATTTTCGGAGGTTTGAGAGTCAGAAAATTCAGGTTGGTAGGGATTTAAATGGGAAGACTTTTACTGCATTTATAGTTAAACAAATGTGTCAATTCCTTTCAGGAAGATCTTGTCAAAAGGCTTTCAGGGTGCAAAGAAAGTCATTTTTACAATTTGCCTTTCGGGCAAGCTGAAGATAACATTTACTAGCACAAACATCATTTCAACTAGCCCCAAAAACGTTTTAATGAGCAGATTGATTTCACAGTTGTTCTGTAATTTGAATTCCTCAAAAAAAACTTCACTTGCCCTTCGGGCAAGTTACTAACAGAATTCACTAGCCCGATAGCAATATCCAGTAGATGCATAAACAGACAGTGACTAAGTTGGGATCGCGAAAATTACATTCGCCCAAAAGTAACTAAGGTGGTGTCTATAATTGGCCAAAAAATAGACTTTAAAAGGACAGGGGTGCAGAGAGGCCAGCGGCACATACTCAGCAAACGTTAACCCAAGAACCCCCCCCCCCCCCTCGTGGAAGACCCTGGATTGCAAAGAAATGGGTCATTCTCTGTATAATATTACATCAAGCGCATCGCGTACTCTGATTTTCTGCCAGGGTTAGGCTCCAAAAACAGCTCCAGTTTTATTCCCGCGGTCTTGTTTTTTCAGGCTTCCTAAGTAAGAGTATCGAAGACGAACTCTCTGTCTCCTAGCTAGAGAGAGACACTATTTGACCATCTGATCATTTTCTAATTGCCTTATATTACAGGGTTATGATGGAACCCCGAAGTCTTACATCGCTTGCCAAGGTAAGTTTTTTGTCTCTAAAGAAACTATTCATGGTAAGCCCAACTTTATCTCTATCTCGGCCTGAAGTGTTACCGAGACAAGCTAACAAGTTTTGTTCTGTAGTTTTTATTCTGAAAGTGACTGCGGACCAGTATACAAAGTGAAGTGAATACAATAAAGAAATCGGAGGCGAAGATGTTTTATCCACCCACCAAGTGCCAGAAATTTACAATTTCTGCCTTTGCTTTTGAAAGTGGTGCGAAAACAATGATAGAGTGTTGTATTCCAATGCAAAGCGTTTTGAAAGTTACGATCCACACCTAATGAAATGTCCCTCATTCTAGGCCCAGTTCCAGGGACTTACCAAGACTTCTGGAGGATGATTTGGCAGGAAAATGTGTCAACTGTTGTCATGTTGACAAGGCTTATTGAGCATGGTCGGGTAAGACTAAGTTTGTTTTAACGTCGTTCTGAAAGCTACCTAGTATGAAAAGTAGCTTTGTGTTAAATGGCCTTTGTCCTGAAATGAGAGCAATTCTTGGATAGAAATGTATTTGAACATCGGTAGCAGAGGGTAAGCGAATATTTTCGCGAGCTCCTTTTGCAGAAAGTTTGTCACTCTGCGTTTGCCATTATGGTTTATCCTCTCAGCCAAAAACGCATCCCAAATAAGGTATGTGACAGCCATTGATGGTTGCTACTTCATAACGTTGACGTAACGTGCCATCAGTATTCGTGTTTGCCTGATAAACGCGGAAAGTACCAAGGGCCATCCTCAGAATTTCCGGCCGAATTTTTCGGACAGTGCAAATCTCCCAGAAATTCCTGACACTTCCTTTTCCATGTGATTTATTCATCCATCCTGAAATCGCATCATTATTGAGATATTAAGTAAATTTGAATGTTTTTCTTTTGTTATTGTTTTACTCTACGTGCTCCAGACGAAATGTCACCAGTATTGGCCAGATAAATCCGAGACCTACCACAAAATAACTGTTTCCAATCACAAAACAGAGAAGTTTGCTGACTACGCCATTCGTACATTTGTTCTGTCAAAGGTATGTGCCTTCAGTAGTAGTAGTCAACAGCCAAAGTGCACAAAAATTCCAAATTTATTTTGATTGATTGTTTTGTTTTTGTCACTTTACAGGTTACATATACTGAAAAATATAGAAAAGAATAGTGGCGGGGAAACCTGAACTGGAAGCCTGGGGCCTAAATTGGGTCCAGGCTCCCCTTAGATTAGTTTAAGTAGACATGAATAGGAAGCTTAAGCAACAACGTCGACGCCAGTGAAAACGTCCCTAAGAAATGAATTTGCGTCCTGTCAAACTCTGTCGCGTCTGGTTGAACCCGCTCACTTTGTAAAATGTAGGCGATTTTTCCTGGAGTTGAATTCTTAAGGACTTTATCCATGTTCAAAAAGAGAAAGGAAAATTTATCATCGTGTGTTCAGGTCCTCAATGAAACGTGGTGTTAGGAGATTTTACGTCGTAGCCGTGTAGTGGACATCAAAGAAATGTACTTAAAAGCGGGATGCACGTGCAGAGCTGTTAGAGACCTTTAGATTGTAGGACGGGTACGACTACGAGTACGAGATTTTCTCAATACTAAGTAGTGTACGCGTGTGAGCCAGCGTCATTTTGGCGGGAAAAAGTTGTAGCCGTCGTCATTCTGCTACGAGTTTTCGCGCGAATGTCGTGGTGACGAAAACAAGACATCAAATGTTAGAAGTGTTATCATTTTGCGATCGGGAGAGTGCAACCTCCTTCACTAAAGATAACAATGCTAACTTTTCTAGTGAAAAATGGTAAAATGAAGCTTTCCGGGGAGTCTATACTTTGAAAATACGCGAAAAACTTTCAAGTCAAATCTCGTACTCGTAGTCGTCCTCTTCTCCGAATCTAAAGGTCTCTGTTGTTGTGCTCGTAAAACCAATTGTTTTCAGTTTTACGTCGTCGTCGTCCTCGCGATTGCATAAGCTCCCTACTAACACAGGAAAGACTAAGCGATTTTACGAAATAAACAACAGTATAAACTTGGATACGGGGAAAACGAAGAATAATACAACATAATTACGTACAAACGTTACTTACAAGAATAGGATGACATCTTTTACTTTTACATTTTTGAAAGTTCTTGAGAAATAAATAGCATCATGCAATGTTCAAGCGAAGAGGTTTCATTTGGTAACACTTTGTGATTTCGTCCGCAGATTTAAAATATATGCAAAAGGCAAATCACCTCACCATATGTCTGCCCATGGGTGAAAGGGTTTCTAATATTTAATCATGCAAAGAGGGACAGGTTTTTACTGAATTGAGGATAGTGAATTCGTTTCTGAAATCTTTTCCAGCGGAAACACCATTAAGTGGCTGTGTCACGGCAGTCCAGTTCATTTTGTTTAATTTTGCCAGTTACTTGCCCTCAGTCGCTATGGAACTTAAGTGAGCAAAGAAATTACATGTAAATGACAAAATCAGAGATTCGAAACAAACAAATGTCTCCTGAGCATTATTTTTGAAGTTGCAAACAGCATAGATCAACTTTGAAAAACTGTTAGGCTGAACAGTTTTCGAAAACCCTAATTTCAACCCGTTTCAATCTTTTGCCCATCCGTGGCATCTGTTGTATCTGTTGTATCTGTTGTGTTAATGTAACCTTCCTTAATGTTTTAAGCGGTTATTTTTACGTTTCTCTTAATTTAACGGGCATTTTGTAATTACCTAATTAGGCTGAATTTCATGACTCAGCTCCTTTAAGTGGCCACGTCAATCAATCTATCAATCAATCAATTTATTAACGTCAATACGTGGGATAGAGTTGCCCCGATCATCCGGGCCAGAGACTCGTGTATAAAACGCATGTCTCGAAGATACTGCTGCTTTAGGTTCAATTCTGTGCTGAAGTCTTTACTTAGTGCCCTTACCTATACACAAAATGCTCCGGTAGAATTATAAAGAAAAAAAAAGGTATCATTAGAGAGCACTGACCATAATAAGTTTCAATCAATTACCATCCTTGCCATCTGTGGCAACAGACGACAACAACAGTTTCAATGCCTAAATACAGTCTTAAATATCAAAACTGGACAATTATTTTGTGGAATTTAACTGATGCAAAGACACGCTTTAGCTTTAAAAAAAGATAGTAAATAGTGTGGCATAGCTTCTTTAAGTGTAATGCTAACCAGGAAATGCGGTACTCTCAGTCGTTTCCATCGCAAGGCTTTCATCTTTTAACAGAAGAGTTAAGGGACTTCATCAAACACTTGTCTTATTTTTACACAGAGTGGATCCAAGGAAACACGCCGAGTTCAGCAATTTCATTTCCTTGTGTGGCCTGACAAAGGCGTTCCTCGACATGCCACCGCTGTTCTTGGTTTGAGGACAAAGGTTCGAGCCAAGCACAAGGATTGTAAATCTCCTCTGGTTGTCCACTGCAGGTAAACAGCTAAGTCGTGCTTCCAATTACTTTCTCCGCGGTATTTCTAGATCTCTTGCGGTGCAGTAATCGTTCCGAGAAAAAACAGTCACATTCAAGTTTGTTTCCCACGATGTTCGCTGAATGAAGTACTGTAAATCCTATATTAAGCCCCTTAGGGGGCTTATTTATTTGAAGCCCATTTGAGGAGGGGCTTAATAGAGACGAGGACTTATTTGAGAGGGGAGGCTTCTCCATAAGGAACTAGAATACAAAGTGGAACATTTCAAGTACAAGAAGGTTGGAGGTCATGCAGCCGAGGATCAGAATCAAATCCGAACTTCCAGTTGGTAAATAAACCATCCCGGATCAGCCCACACGAAGTTTTACATTCGTGATTGATTAATACAGTCTATCATTTATTAGTGAAGAATAATTAAGGGGTGAGGGGGCTTAATAGAGAGGGTGGGCTTATTAAGTTTCTTCCCCTAAAAAGGGTGGGCTTATTAGAGGGAGGGGGCTTGTTTGAGAGGGGGGGGGGCTAATAGAGGATTTACGGTATCTCTTTTACGGGGAAATTTCTTAGATGTTCTTCCGATTCGCCACTTAAGAAATGAGAAGGGGACTGGAGCCGAAGTTGTTTGGCAATAGACCTTTTTACCGATACGGCGGCCATATTGAATTAATTCGATTTAAGTAGTATTACAGGATGCCAAGGGGGCATGAGCACATTTCGTTTGTATTTTCGAACGCTTTTCGGGACATGTTTTCTTCAAGTTTTCTTCGAATAAGATTGTAATGGGAAAAAAGACCCTTGTGCCTGGTTTTGATGTAATAATGATCGCCTTTTTCCCGAGAAATATACAGTGAAAGACCATATTTCTAATAATAAACTAGAAAAAGGCGATCATTATTACAACAAAACACGGCACAAGGATCTTTTTTTCCCATTAGAATCTTATTCTAAGAACTAAAAATGTCTCGAAAAGCTTTCGAAAAGACAAACGAAATGTGCTCCTATAATACTCCTTAAATCGAATTAATTCAATATGGCCGCCGTATCGGTAAAAAGGTCTATTGTTTCTGGGATCTTTACTGATGACGCACCGGTCAGCTATTGGCTAGTTCTTTTCATTGTCCTTAGTAACAGTCCCACAAATCTTTGCAAACGTTAACTCGACCTAGCGGCACTCAAAAATCCCGGATGAACGTCGCGGTAGTTGTCATGGTCGCTTCCTTGAACTATTTTGATGTTTCAATGGTAATGTTCCCCTGTAAGCGATCACACAACGTTATGATTATTCCGCGCTTGTTGAGGTGGAAGGATTGACGCAGTTGGTTATAATTAGTGCGCGACCTTCTGTTCGGGAGGTCCCGAGTTCTTTTCCCAGCAGCGACCACAAATCCTTCTTTCAACTTGTTTCCTTTCCGCGTACCTTTAAGTAGCTTTAAATACCCGTAAAACGGAGCACTGATAGAGAGAGAGAGAGCGAGCAGGAGGGGGGAGGGGGGTAAAATGAGGGCACCGTCGGCAGAGCTACCGACGTAAAATAAGAACACTTTACCTATTTTTTTACCTTAAAGGATCCTTGTAACTACTGGAAATGCTTAATTAATTATTTTCTTGCAGTGCTGGTGTAGGACGGACTGGTGCATTCATTGTTATTGATGCTATGCTAGAGAGTGCAGAGCATAAGAAGGTTATAGATGTCTTTAACTATGTTCAGCTAATTCGCACCAATCGCATCTCTATGGTCCAAACAGAGGTAAGTTTAGTAAACTACTTACGCGCCATTAAAATTTCAAACTTCTCCAAAGTTAGCCTATTTGAGGACAATGGGTTGTTTTTACTCTTTTTGGAGTTACTTTAACTCTGAAAGTGGAGTAAAAAGTTTATGTGCAGGATAACTCCTTTTGGGGGGTTATTTTAACTCCTCAATATCTGGGGTGACTTTTACTCCTGAAAAAGAGTTCTTTAAACTCCTTTTTGGAGTTAAAATAACTCCCCAAAAAATAACTCCACTGCAAGGAATTAAATTAGCCCCACTAGAAGAGTTATTATAACTCCTTGAAAATTACTGTGTGGCTTAGTAACGAACACGAACCTTACTTGATAGTTTTTCTTATGATTTCTTGTAAATGCTAGGTTGCCTAATAACCTTACAAAGGTCTTATCATCTTTCTAACGGGAATAAATTCCAACAGGAACAATACGGTTTCATTTACATGGCTTTACTGGAATCCATAACTTGCGGTAACACAGAGATTCCTTCTTGCGACCTCCGCGTGGCTTTGAGGAAACTAGCATCGATCAACCCTAAAACAAAGACGTCCGGACTCGCTTCTGAATATCAGGTATATAACTGTACTTTACGATTTCTTTCAAGGGCTGAAAATGTAAAATCATCTTTGGCGGCGTAATGATACGAGACTATTATGAACATGTTTTATTTGATCGATAAGACTTGAAATGACTGCGCGTTCAAAAGATGGTGTCGGGAGTCGGAAGGCGGCAGGCAGATGGCCGGAAGGTGGCTATTTTTTTACCTTCTCAATTTCTGCCTAAGGAAATAAAGTCGCGTAACAAAGAACAAATTACTTGGCATGCAGAGTAGCATGGAAGAGAACGGGTTAAGAAAGCTTCAATGTAGAGTAGTATAGAATGGACTAGTTAAGACGGCTTTTATTTAGAATGGTATAGGAGGGAAGGGTCAGGACATTTTTACGGCCACTTATTAGGCGAAAGTTGACCTACTTCCTCGTGGACCAATGGCCGCGATATAATTTCACTATTTTTTTTTTTTTTATGACAGCGGTTAGACCTCATCACTGCAGATGACATTGTTGAGAAGGAAGATGATGTCGGTCGCAAGCCTGTGAATGCTTCCAAGAACAGATTCCCTGATGTGATACCTCGTAAGACCTACCCTCTTGCCCCAGTATCTGCAAACAAATTCTCCATACTGATCTTCATACACTCCCTTAAATGATTAGTGAGAAGAGTTTGCTCAAAGATCATAGCATTGTCCCTTAGGTGATCATTTTATTGACTCTTATAACCTGTTGATTTACCTCAGGTAAAACTATACTCAACGTAAATGCAACATGTGTTATGAGTTTGAACACCAGGTTGAGTATGTTCAGTTGAATATTCCTGGATGACATTTGATCAGATTTCTCCACTCAAACGGATCCATCACCATTCAACAATAGAGAGCTTTAGATTTGAGGGCGAGAACGAGATTTTCTCCATACTAAGTAGCGCACGCGCGTGAGCCAGCGTCATTTTGGCGGGGAAAACGTGCTAGCTGTTATCATTCACTACCAGTTTAAGCGAGAATGCCGTAGTGGCGGAAACAAGTTATCAAATGTAAAAAGTTTTACCATTTTGCTATCGGGAGAGGGCTTAACCTCCTTCAGTATAAATGACCGTACTAACTTTTTCAAGCTTTCCTGGGTGTCTTTTTTTGAGAACGCGCAAAAACTTTAAGTTAAGTCTCGTACTCCTACTCGTACTCGTTCTCAAATCTAAAGCTCTCTGATATTTGATGATGCTGTAACAACATATATGATCCCTTCAAATACTGTGCTTAGTGCTGTTTAAGTAACAGTTACATGTTGTTGGATGGCATTGGATCAGGCTAACCCTTTCACTGCCAGAGTGTTTGATGGAGTTTTGTAAGGTGACTCTACCTTTTGAGTCTGCGGATGAAATCCTATGATGTGACCATTCAAATGAAAGCTCTCTGCCTGTGCTTTCATATTATGCTATTTTAGAAAATGGAATTTGCAAATTTGGTCGAAATTTGCCCTCGGCCACATTTGGCAGTGATTTGGTTTAAAACAAGTTAAACGTTGAGGCCACCCTATTTGGACGGTCCCAGAAACACCCAGCATGCTGGACCACCTGTAGACTAGCTTTCATTGGGCCTTGAGAACTAATTGGGCTGAGTAGAGTTTGGTCACTTCATTTTTCATTGAATTCTTTTTTTTTTTTTACATTGCAGTTAATGACTCAAGAGTAGTGCTCAGGGGTGACGAAAAAAACGACTACATCAACGCGTCATTTGTCGACGTAAGTGTTTTTACAGAGATTTTCTTTCATCCTCGTTTTTGGGTAAAATTAAACCTTCTGACGGCCCGAAACAAGTCCCGTCTGGCAGTCCTGGACAAGTAGATTGTCTTGCTGGGGATGTAACTTTCAAAGCTTACTTGCCCAGGATACCGGTCGAGGCAAGCGATCCCCTGACTAAATCATTAACTAAGACAAACAAGAAGTGGCCCCTCCCGGCCTGGCAAGCAAAATGCAACAATTGAGGTTGTTGCTGGTTGCGAAAAGTTGTTGTAGTAAGTAGAGAGCAGTTCAACTTTTTGTAACAAAATCTGTACTTGTTGCATGTTTCACCAGCCCGAGGCAAATTTGTTTCGTTGCTAGTGATGTTTATCCCAATTCAATTCAATTCAGTTGATTTTCTCTCAATATTTTAACTAGTGCTAAGTTACAGCCCTTTAGATTGTTGCTTACAATACAAACGTTTCTATTGTTCGAGTATGATGTCCAAGTTTTCATTCGGTTTTCCACGTGGCCACCATAACAGCAGTTACGTTTCGTTAGAATATATATAGGCGATATCCCGTCTATTGAGTGATTTTACCCAATCAGTAGTCAGTATTCACCTAACTTTCAACAACCTGATTTGTTTAAGACAAGTTTGAAGTAATATATCAAGCATGAGACGCAGTCCGAGAGAAGAGAGTTGATTATTTTTGACAAACTTCGAGGTGTTTCATGTGGTGATGAAACACTGTGTCGAATGCTTGATATTACGTCTCAAACAAAATGATTTTAGAAGGAGAAATTAAGGATGCAAAACTGAGAAGTCTTCATCTGATTTCCAAACACTCATTGTACTTTAATTTCTTTTGTATTTTCTTTATGAATTATTAATGAGTTTGAGAACGTAGTTTATACAATGTGCAACATCGCTTTTCAATTCAGCAGTGTTGCAAAACAAGTTTCAAGTTATTGTTGCCTGTTTTGCCGTAGCTTGAAAGTAGCGTGTCTTATTTTTCCGTACTCATTTAGACATTCCGCGAGCGTAATTCATTTATAATGACACAAGCTCCTCTGAGTAACACGATCGAAGATTTCTGGAGGATGGTTTGGGACTACAATGTTGGAACGATTGTTATGCTGAACGAAAATGAAGAAAATGGACAGGTACTAATGAACTTTTAATTTGCTCGCTCATTTGCCTACCTCCACCACCAAAACGTACTTCTTAAATGAATTTCATTCCCTAAATGGTACACAATGCTAATGGTTTCATCAGAAGTCTGCGCCATCACGTAGTAGTCGTCGTCAACATCATCATAAGTAAGCTTAAGCGATGACGACGACAACGACGGCAGTGAAAACGTCGCCAAAAAATGAATTTACGTCCTTTTAAAGATAATCTCGTCAACTTGGACCCGCTCAATTTGTCAAATATAGGCGATTTCTCCTGGACTTGAACTCTTAAGGACTATCCAGCTTCAAAAAGGGAAAGGAAAATTCATCCCCGCATGTTCCTTGACCGGTCTGGTTTGCTACAGGATTATAGTTCTGACGTGTTAAAGCGCCCTATAATTCCGTCCCTCCTTATCATCTTCTTCATCGTTACTTCGTTGTTACCGTTGTTGTGACAATATTATCGTCTTACTGTAACTCCGTGACACGGTTACTTTTCCAGTACCGCCATTAGGTCAGTTTAATTTTTTTCTTGTAAGGTACTTATTGGGAGCTTCGTTCGGTCCCGTCCAAGGTTAAAATTTAATAATCTCCGTTTTTGCGATTACTTTGAGTTTGACTGATTCAATTTTTTAGTTTTTAGTTTATAGAAAGTAAATTTAGGTAGGGTTCACGTCTTTAACTTCCTTTGTAGGATGTTATTTTTTTATGATACCTTGAATAAAGTATGTATTGGATTGCATATAATTTTTGTCAGGTGTACCCCAAGTACTGGCCATCAGAAGGCTCCAAGAACTTTGGACAATTTGTCATTGAATCAACTTCAAATGAAGTATTTCAGGATTTTTCAGAAAGAGAATTAACAATTTTCAAGAGAAAGGTACATGTGCAAGTATTTGAAAATAAGCGAAACAAATCCATGATGTGATTTTCGTTTAACCACGAGGAACAGTCTTGTGCATTAAGGGGTAATAGTTGAATCAAAACTTTACGAATACATTCATTTAGAACAGTATTACTGATGTTTAAATTTTTAAGATGCAGTGTTGAAATTAAATCCATCAGGTCAGCGTTGTCAGAAGGGTGGGTGGAGGCAAAAACATTTATAAGATACCTAACACTAGACACGTAAACTTGTTTGACAGGCGGTCAAGGAAATATAAAGATGGGGCATCGGCCGCTTGCGAAAGTTGTGTGGAGCGTTTGGGGAGCGTGGAGAAATGGAGGGCTAGCGATTCTTTTCCCTCTTATTTTTTGCGTGCCCCTCTTTCAACTTCTTGCACGTCCTTATCCCTGACAATTCTTTTTCCTGGCGCTTTGCTCAGCCTAAAGCGCTCGTTGATTATTTTTCAGGATCCCAAAGTTGTCCGTCGTGTTCACCATTATCACGTGACAGGCTGGGCAGATAAAAATATCCCCTCCAATCCACAGTGTATATTGGACTTGATGGCCATGGTGGAGCAGTCACAGAGAAGCAGTGGCAATGAACCAGTCGTCGTGCAGTGCAGGTTGATAAGTTTCCTAATTTCATACTCGCATTCTGTTTTACTTACGTTTCGTTAAACTTATTCCAAAGTCCCTCCTCTGGCCAGTCATATTGGACTAAAATAGTCTGCTGTAAATCAATAGCTCTTTTCAGAGCCTTTCTTTCAAAGTGACGCCAAGTGCGAAGCCATTGATATGAAAAAGATTTTCTATTCGCATGCAAATAAAACTCATTTTCATAAGAATGGTACTTGGCCTTCTTTGAAAGTGGGAGTTTTTGGAACTCGGAAATGGCTTGTCAGGACTAGAGAGGCTATGTCACGAAGATATTGCCGTTTTAGGCCAATTCTGTGTTGAAGTCATTACCTAGTGCCATTAGCCTTACACAGAATGCCCCTGAAGAGTTATTAAGAACATATCAAACAAATTTCATCCGGAAGCATTAACCATAATAATTTTTGTAGCATTAAAACTTGAAAAACTTGGCCCAACCTGTCAAGGAGCTGTGTCACGAAATTCAGCCAAATTAGGTAATTACAAAATGCTCGTTAAATTAAGCGAAACACAAAAATAACCGCTTAAAACATTAAAATTTAAATAATACAACGGATACAACAGATGCCACGGATGGGCAAAACTGAAGAAGATCGAAACGGATTGAAATTAGGTTTTTTGAAAACTGTTCAGCCTAACAGTTTTTCAAAGTTGATCTCTGCTGTTTGCAACCTTCAAAAATAATGCTCAGGAGACACATTTGTTCGTCTTGAATCTCTGATTTTGTCATTTACATGTGGGCTAGGAATTAATAAAATTAAACAAAATGAACTGGACTCCCGTGACACAGTTCCTTTAATCCATCGTCCATCCTTGCCGTCCGCTGCAACAGATGACCGGAAGCAGTATCGAGATTCGATGCCTAAATACAGTCTTAAATAACAATACTGGACCTCTAGTTTTGGATTTCAATTTATGCGGAGACAAGTTTTAGCTTTGTAAAAAGGTAGCAAATAGCATAGCATAGACCATAGCCCTAGTAAGCAAAAAGAAATTCGAAAGGTATTCTCCATAATTATGTGGCCTTTTTGTGTCATGTTGTGTCCTTTTTGTGTATTGTGCTTTTAAAAGATGCATCAGTGTAAGTAAGTGAGCATGTAAAATCGTGATAAATAAGTTTAATTTTTGGCAATGGACTCAGAAATTTGAAAGGTATTCAGCTCCATAAATGTTTAGGGCGTTTTTATGTAATTAATAGGGAGCTTAAGCAGCAACGTTTTTGAGCGACGCACGTCAACCGGAAGTGAGGTATTTTCCCTCTTAACATGCCTTGATGATATAAAATTTGTATTCCTTAGCTTCTTTACTGTTATAGAGGCGATTTGACTGAAAATTTGCGCGAAACCACCGTCAAAAAATGAAAAAAGGCCACTTCCGGTTGACGTGCGTCGCTCAAAAACGTTGTTGCTTAAGCTCCCTACTATTAGTAGTTAGTGGCGTTGAGGTGGTGTTGAATAAGATTGGCATTATATTTACATTGAAAGTGAATTTTTCTTTTATTTCAGCAACGGTGTTGGCAGAAGTGGCACATTCTGTGCAATTCTGTCCATAATAGAGCGGCTGAAGTCAGAGCAAGTGATTGATGTTTGTCAATCAGTGAAAGTGATACGGGTCAACAGGCCAAAAGCTGTCGATTGTAAGGTAAAGTGAAAGTATTGATTTAAAACAAAAATAAGAATCTGATTAGATAGTGTGATGTTACTGTGTAGAAATTGCGGGAAAAGGACATTTTTACCAACGTAAATCCCTGACGTCACGGTGGCCTTGATGATCAACTGATCTTTGATCTTGATGATCTTTCTTTAGGAAATGAGTTAAATGAGGTCTTTTGTTAAGCCAATTTTCCATTCCCTTTTATTCTAAGTTTTGCATTAGTTATTGTTTTTAAACGCTCTTGGGAATGTACGGTCCTCTTAACGGCACTTGAAAACAGGAGTTTATCCAAAGTTTGAAGGTTAATAGAGTTTATTACGGGGTATTCGAAAAAGAGAATTGGTACACGTATTTACATTTACAAGGTGAACTGATTTGAAAAGTTGAGAGACTTTCTTGAAATTGTTAATTAGATTGTTTTTGTCCTTTGCATAAAATCTCTCTTTGTTGTCTTCCGTTTCAGAAGCAATACGTTTTCTGTTACAACATTGTACAAAAATACTTGGACTCATTCAACGACTATTCCAACTTCAACTAAAGCGGATGGTTGTTGGTATTAATAATAAGCATTTATAAGAATGGTTAAACCTTCAAAGTAATTTATCTTCCAAAGGTTAACTTGAGTTTTGTTCAAATAAGGATCCTTTTAAAAAGGGCAAATGTTTTGTTTGTATAGCTTTTAAATTTTGCACGATTAGGTTGAGTTAACAAATAATTCTTGCCGCAGAAGACTCAGTTGCTTAATACCGAATCTGTCTGATTATCTTCGCGATATTTCATTTCTACCTCGGAATCCTCAAAATTCTCTAAATAATTTGAAGCACTTAACAACGTTTCCCCTAGCTATCTGGCGGACAGACTGAGTTATCAATCGAATTCCTGGCTCTTGCGGTCCGCATCTATGCAGCTGTTAGACCAACCTCGATCAATCACGACAACTTACGGGGACAAGGCTTTTTCAGTGTGTGCCCCTAAACTGTGGAATTCACTACCATTAGATTTGCGTAAGTCACCATCCTTAACTAGTTTTAAGACAGAATTGAAAATATATCTTTTTAGACAATTTTTAGAGAGTTGGTCATTGTTTTGTAACTTTTTGATTTTAAGACCTGTAATATAATGATTGTAAATAGATTTTTAATGATTTTCTGATGATTTATAATTATTTCATTGTCCCCTTTTTTACATTGTAAAGCGCCATGATTTCAGGATATGAGCGCAAATTAGCGGAAATTAGCAATCGCGATGCGTTTACCGTAACAATAGCTTTAAAAACTCCTGAAGGATTCTTGTAGTTTTTACCAAATGATCTCATCATACCAATTGCGAATAAACCTTCAGTAGCGGAAATCCCCTCAGCAGCGGTCGGAAATCACCAAAGGACTTTAACTCCGTGTCAAAAATATAGTGTCTTGGACGTAGTAGTTGTTAACTCAACCTTTTTGGTTATAGATAGTTTGTCTTGTTTATGTCCTGGGAAAAAATATATGTTTAACAAAATATCAATTAATTTACTTTTAAAACTTGACAAAGACTCTAATTTCAAGGTCGAGGTAGATAAGTCACTTGAAAGGAGAAACATAATATATTGTTATTTTCCGTTGTTTTAAGGTGTAAAAATATGATAAGATTTTGAGTTTATGCAAGGAGAACATGTCGTTATCTCACTATGCCCAGGGCGTTGGTCAAGGAAACCCGAAAATCACTTTTTATGGTGACTGGAAAGTGAACAGCGCCAAGGAAGATAGTTAGTTTTGTTATTCAAATAATACACGTCATTCAGAGATTAAGAAAACTTTTAACTAGAGGATTCTATTTGTATTTTTTGCTTTGTTCTCAGCTTAATATAGATGAATTTAGCTTGGTCTCAATCTTTAATTGGACATGATATATGAATTATAGTCTCTAAACCAAAATTATATTCATATAAAGCTTTATAAAAATATATTTGATGTAATAAGCCTTTTGTACCAGTTGGCCACGTGACCAACTTTCTGTAGACATGAAAACAATTCGCTTAGGATGCATGACGTATGCATGCAAAAATTACGTAAACTATTAATCTTCCGCCGTATTTTTTCAAAAGTAGCGATTGCAACGGCCACTGAGAATTAAAAGTATTTGTATGGGAAAAAACTCTTGCCATCCACTCTCTGTGAGGAGGTTTTCCATAGAAATCTTTGTAAATTTCAAAAATTTTCAAACTGACGCAATATCTTGTCTTACTCATTACGAGGATCAAATTTCCTTTTTTTCCTAGCAGAAAATTTGAGCCCTGTGATTCGTAAAGGAAAGATTTTACGACAGTTCGAAAATTTCAAAACTTACCAGAATTTGTATGGAAAACCATTCAACCGTGACTGGCTAACGAGAGTTATGAGTTTTACCGTACAAGTCCTCCTAATTATCGGAGGTCCCTGCAAGCGCTACTATACGGCTAAGAATGTACAGGTTACCAGATTTTAATGTGCGCTTTAAGTTGCTGCTAAAATCGTTTTACCTAAACAAATTGTTTTCATTTTTTACAGTGGGGTGATCACGTGACCAACTATTGCAAAAGGCCTATTTGATTGAAAGACCAAAGAGTATTTTTAGGTAAAAATAGCAAGTTTAAAATAAGATCCTAAAAGTCAGGCATATTTTTATATTATCACAGAAGCCTTATTTTTCTTCACATTACATTTTGAAGCTCTTTTGTAATAACGGTAAGTAATTGTTAAGGTTATATTTCAAAGTTAAAATTCGTTCATAAACGATCATTAAAATTATGAATAGTATTTGATACTTTGTTCGTTTTTACTTGCAGTAGAGTCAGTGCGCGTTGTGCAATCATTTCAAAAGTTCAGTTTTGTATTTGAGCGCATAGAGATGAGCTGTTTATTTTGCATAGAGCATCTGTGTTGCTGTGCTTTCTTCTTGCGGTTGTTTCTCCGACGAAATCTGACCTCTCAAGGCTACATAACTGCATAACTTCAGGTTGTTTGTGAAACCAGTGTTTTAAGGTAGGAAAAGGGCATGGGAATGCAAACGACTATGGAAGGGTTGAAAATCCCGCAAAACGTACGTCTGTCAGTGTTTTGAGAGTTCATCTTCAGACACCTAGAAAATTTTCATGGTTTTAATTTTGATTCAACTCGTTTTAAATATCGCTATTTCCGTAGCTGTGATGCAAATGAACCAACAACTTAGGTTTAGTGGAGTTTGAGATTGCAAACGAAGTGCTTTCTACAGCTTTTCGACAGTGCGATTCCCTCGGTTGCAATCTTCAATTTTTCCAAAGGGGTTAACCTTTAATTTGTAGTCAAAATATGTCTTAGTGTGTGATAAGAAAGGACTAACTAATGCTGTTAAGTAATGTTGACTGGAAAAGAAAGGCGTGGTCAAAAATGATGTTTAGTAATGTTCAAGAGCGCAAAGGAAGTCTTTTACAGTTTATTTTAGACTTCGATTGTAAGGGCCACCAGTTTGTTTTTGTTTTTTTTTTCCAAAGGGGTTAACACATGTTTCTACGTCAAAATTGGAAATTGGGTATATGTCAATGCTGGGCCGCCATTTTCTGTTTTCTCCGAAAGATTATCCAACTAATTAAAAGAGGAACTCGTTAATGTCATGAAAAAAGTCTTTGTGGCCCATAAAAATATCGAGATTTTTTTTTTTTTTTAGCCAAACTAGTTCATAAAACACTCTTTGAATATATTCTACATAGAAAATACCCATTTCTAGACTAGAAAAATGTCCATCGTCTATAGTCGTTATCCATGATTGTGCCCAAAAATTGTCATTTTTTTCCATTTCGTGTTTTTGGTCGAAATAGGCCCTAAAATACTCTTTTGAGTATGTCCTACATAGAAAACAAGAATTTCTAGACCATAAAAATATCCATCTCATGAGGTCAAAAACTTGGATTTTTCCAGAGAGGTAATAATAATCCATGGTTTTGACCAAAAATTGTCATTTTCTTCGATTTCGTATCTTCTCTTACAATAGTCTGTAAAATAGTCTCTGAAAGTATTCTACGTAGAACACATGCAATTCTGGACTACAAAGATATCGATCTTATATAATCGAAAAATGAGATTTTTCCAAAGGAGTTAACCCATCGTTTTGGCCAAAAAAATTGTCATTTTTTCTGTTTCGTATTTTCGGTCAAAATAGTCCATAAAATAGTCTTTGAATAAGTCCTACATAAAAACAGGAATTTCAACGCTATTAAAATATCCATCTTATATAGCCAAAACATTAGATTTCTTCGAAGGGGTTAACCCATGGTTTTAACTAAAAATTGTCATTTTCTTCGATTTTGTATTTTCCGTCAAAATAGTCCATAAAATAGTCTTTCAATACGTTCTACATAGAAAACAATAATTTCTAAACCATAAAAATATCCATCTTATATAGTCAAAATTGGATTTTTTCAAAGGGGTAAACCCATGGTTTTTGGCCAAAAATTGTCATTTTGTCCATTTTGTATTTTCGGTCAAAACGTCTGTAAAATAGTCTTTAAAAGTATTCTGCATAGAAAACAAGCAATTCTAGACTAATAATATCAATCTTATATAGTCGAAAAATTGCATTTTTCCAAAGGGGTTAACCCATGGTTTTGACCAAAAACTGCCATTTTTTCCATTTCGTATTTTCGGTCAAAACAGTCTGTAAAATAGTCTTTGAATATGTTCTACATAGAAAACATGCATTTCTAGACTATATAAATATCGTTCAATCGCATTTTTCCAAAGGGCTTAACCCATGGTTTTGGCCAGAAATTCTTCTTTTTTTCATTTCGTATTTTCGGTCAAAATAGTCCGTAAAATAGTCTTTGAGTATTTTCTGTTTTCAAAACAATCATTGCTAGACTATAAAAAATATCCGTCTTACATGGTCAAAAAATTGGATTTTTCCAAAGGGGTTAACCAGTTGTTTTGGCCAAAATGATCATTTTTTCAATTTCGTATTTTTGGTCAAAATAGTCTTTGAATATGTTCTACATAGAAAACAAGCATTTCTAGACTATAAAAACATCAATCTTATATAGTCAAAAAAAAAATGGATTTGTTAACAAGGTTAACCCTAGCCTGAATTTCATCCGATTACTTTGAGTCGTTATTACTCCCTCAGTAACATCTGAATCGACCGACCGTTAATGCCGTACAGTGACGTCGACGTCACTACTACTTGACCTTTGCTTTAATTCATGCAAACAGTAAAACACGATTTTCAAGTGGCGAACCGAGAAATATCGTTTGGAAATGTCTGGATGATACAGAACAGCTTTATTTTTTTCGATCGTAATTCATGTTTAACGTTCAAACTATCAACTGCGTGCAGTACAACGCTGAACCGGTTGTGCTAAATTCTATAATCAAACTCGGTCGCAATCACTCAATGAAACAAACACACACACGGAACACTTCGTTCAAAAAAACAATGATTTTCTTTAATTGAAAAGAAGCTATTTGGTCCTTAACGAAGAAAAAAAAAACAGGGAGACAAGAAAGAAAACCTAACAGAATCATTACACTTGACGGTGAAAATAGCAAGAAGGTCGAATTATAACATTGATCTCAGAAAACTTAGCGTAAACAAAATCACCGGCCGCCGAAACCACAAAGCGGCTCTAAATGAAAAACCTACCGACTCTCCGCAATGATTCTTCATTCGCAGTTCAATTTAGCATTTCAGTTTCGAAGACAAGGGCAATTTTGCTGTTTAAGATAAAGATTAAGCTTATCGAAATGTTTGAACTAAACGAAAGACTGCCAGGGATGCGATCCGCTGAATATCAAGCGACAATTCCGCTAAAATTTTTCATAATTATGCGAATGTTAAGACAATCAACCAATCAAAATCACTACCCAGTTTTCGGGTAGTGAATGACGTCACTGGACGGCATTAACGGCCGGTCGATTCAGACGTTGTTGAGAGGAGAAAACGACTCGAAGCAATCGGATGAATTTCAGGCTAGGTTAACCCATAGTTATGGCCAAAAACTGTCATTTTTGCCATTTCGTAGTTTCGGTCAAAATAGTCTATAAAATCGTTTTTAAATATGTTTTACCTGAAAAACAAGTATTTCCAAGCGTTAAAAATGTCGCTCGTATAAGCTGGATTTTTCTAAAGGGGTTAATCCATGGTTTTGACTAAAAAGAGTCCTTTTTCCATTTCATAGTTTCGGTCGAAACAGTCTGTAACATTGTCTTTAAAAGTATTCTACTATAAAAAATATCGATATAACCCATAGTTTCGGCCAAAAAATGCATATTCCATTTTTTGCACTTTTTTCAAACTTCCCAATTACGATCTAAAAAGCATTCTTTTCTATTTAGAATATCAAAAAAGTATCCTTTGAGGCTAGATTTCCCAAAAAAACACACATAAGAAAAACGTCGATTTTTGACAAAAACCATGGACTAAACCCTTTGCAAATTTTCGATTTTTTGGACTTTTTTCAAACATTAATATTCCGGTCTTTTCTATCCAGAATATCAAAGAACGATCTTTTGTGGCTAGATTTCCCAACAAAACACACATGAAAAAAAGGTCGATTTTTGACAAAAACCATGGACTAACCCCGTTGCAAATTTTCCATTTTACAAACTTGTCTCAAACATTACTATTCCGGTCTTAAAACCATTATTTTCCATCCAGAATATCAAAAAACGATTTTTTGTGGCTAGATTTCCCACGAAAACACCTATGAGAAAAATGGAGACTTTTTGTCAACAATCATGGACTAACCCCTTTGAAAATTCTCGATTTTTTTTAATTTTTTTCCCAATTTACTATTCCGGTCTAAAAAGGATCCTTTTGTATTCAGAATATAAAAAAATGACATTTTGTGGTTAGATTTCCCACAAAAACGCCTATGAGAAAAGGGGCGATTTTTTGACAAAACCCTTGGACTAACCCCTTTGCAAATTTTTGATTTGTTGGACTTTTTTTAAACTTTACTATTCCGGTCTAAAAAGCATTCTTTTCTATCCAGAATATCACAAAACGATCTTTTGTGGCTAGATTTCCCACAAAAACATATATGAGAAAAAGGGCTACTTTTTGGAAAAAAGCCATGGACTAATTCCTTTGCAAATTTTCGATATTTCTGGACTTTTTTCAAACTTTACTATTTCAGTCTAAAAACTATTCTTTTCTACCCAGAATATCAAAAAAGGAATTTTTTGTGGCTAGATTTCCCACAAAAACACCTATGAGAAAAATGGAGATTTTTCCAAAGGGGTTAGTCCATCGTTTCGGTCAAAAATTGGCTATTTTTCTAACTATTTATTTAAGGCAATATAGGACAGGAAAATGTGTTCTAGGATAGTCTAGAAC